CTCTAAAGGATTAGGGATCTCCTTGATGTTCTAATTTCTGATCATTTTCTGTTTTTTTTTACATGAGTTTAATTGAAATCTGAATGTGATTTTAAGTGGCTTCATTATCACGATGTTGAGTCGGTTTTTTAATATCTAGATTGTAGTCAGACCTTGCTTAGATTTCAATTGTTTAATTCGACTGAAGGTTTTCATTTAAGTTTGTTTAGATGTGTGATTACGAGTTTAAAGTGTTCTTTTAAACTGGGTTTGTGTTTAGATGGTTGTGGCAGAGGGTGGCGGCGGCGGTGGCGGTGGCGGCGGCGGTGGTGGCGGTGGCGGTGGCGAGGGTGGTTGCGGCGGTGGTGGCGGTGCTGGTGGTGTTGCTGCTGGGGCTGAATGTAGTTGGAATAAGTAGCAGTAGCAGCAATGGTTGCAGTGGCAGTGGGGTCATAAATAGAGCGTTTATTTTTGAATGGTGGCGTCTTTCGGTTACAGTCTCATTTTCAGAGGAGCGCGACGTGGCCCGGCGAGATGGCGAACGCTTGCTGGGTCATCAAGTCAAGCACGAGCAGGACGTGCGGCTGTGCTTCATATAGCAGAGGTCTCAGTTGGGGTCCCTTGGATTTCAGAGGAAAAGCCTTTTTTGGGCCCTCTTTCTGTACAGAAACTACGACGTCACCCGGACTCGCGACTCAGACCAGCTTCGGGGCTTCGAGTAGAACTGTATAGAGCTGCAGAGAGACGTTGAATGCTTTTTGTCGATTGGCATTGCAATTGCAAGCTTTTCAAGCTCTTGGGACGAAAGGCACAGGGTGCCGCTCGTTGCACCAGAGAATTGTGAATGGGGAGATGTCTCAACTGACCGAGGGAATTTTTAAAAAGGATCCTATGATGGGATGAGGTCGTGTCTAGCCCCGATGTGCGAAGCAGGGAGGCAATAAGGATCCTTACTGACTACACCTGTAATGGTCTCCTGTTGTGGCGATCTGGAGGTTTCTGACAATTGGAGGCTGGGCACTTGTTCGGGAGTCCCTATGCTATGAATCTTTGAATATTGGGATCAGTATTTATCGGGAAAGCCCCACTTCTCCCAGGAGCTGCAGGACCTGCAAGAGGAGGCGCGGCTGTTTCGCACTGAAGCGGTGGAAAAGGAGAAGGACGTGGTCTACAAGGAGAAGGCCCGAGATGCATTTCATCGTAGGTTATGACTTTGACAGGATGATGTTGGCCCTTACCAAGAAGGATTTGCTGATAGTACAGCCCTAAGCCACCTTTCATTCTCTGCTATCAGAAGCTGCTGCTATCGTACACCGGCCCTATACCCAGCTTTCGGCTTAACTACTTCAGCGCGCCCTAATCATTGTTCCACATTCCGCCAGCCGCCCACCCAAATGCACCCGCAATGCATCCCCCAAGCAAGCTCAACCCCCCGAAGCCCTTTCTCACAGGAGCTCGTCCTCTTGCGAACCGAAGCCGCGCAGCTGAGCGACGAAGCGTCAGCCGAGCGCCAGCAGCGACAGCTGGTGCAAGAGGCGATTAATGGAAGTAGGCGTCCCTTTTTGGGGTCCTTAGAGTTTTAGAGCAAGGAGTATACTATTGTGGGTTCTACGTTGGGGGCCCCAATGTTGGGAAACCGCGAGTCAGAGGACGTTGGAAAGGTGGAGAACGAAATGGAAAAGACCATGGAAAAACGAAATGCGAACTTCTACATACAGGGTTATATGGGGATTGTTTTGGGAACAATGTAGAATCAAATGGAAGATGGTATATAACAGGGGTTATGCCCCTATCTCGAACCCTCTAACATAAGGTACGGTTCCGCAGAGTTCCAAAAGCTGAAATCTGTCTCCAAGAGCCACTTTAAAAGGCCAAGACTAAAGTTCATCAGGGCTTAGGGTCACCTTTAGGAGCTGCGGCTGGCCATCGTTGAAGCCAATCACTTCCGGGATGAGTGTGCCCGGAACCTTTTCTCGCAGCTGGGTGAGGAGGTGGTGCAGCAAGACGCACCTGACGTACCTCAGCAGCGGACATGATTACTGGATGAGGGGATATGGGTACCCATTGAGGTAATATTAGGGTTATGTTGGGGTTATATTGGGAAAATGGAAAATACACTAGAAATTAGTATAATGGGTTATATAGGGGCTAATATAATTACAAGGATCCATTTCTTCATTCCTAGCTAACCAAAGGCCAGATTAGCGAGCCAGATTAGGGCCAGCTGGCTAGTCTGCTCGTTGCCCCGGGCTCTTAGCCAGGCTACCTTACATAGACCACGCGCAATTTGTGATGCTTCTCATATCGGCGACAAGTGCAGGTAGTTGTCATGGGCCGGGCTTAAGAAAGTGAAAATAGTAGAATAGGTAGCAGTAGCAGCAATGGTTGCAGTGGCAGTGGGATCATCAAAAGAGCATTTTTTTGAACGGTTGCATTTTTCGGTTAAAGTCTCATTTTCAGAGGAGCGCGACGTGGCCCGGCGAGATGGCGAACGCTTGCTGGCCAGTCCTCAAGTCAAGCACGAGCAGGACGTAGGGCCGAGCTTCATGTAGCAGAGGTGTCAGTTGGGGTCCCTTGGATTTCAGAGGAAAAGCCTTTTTTGGGCCCTCTTTCTGTACAGAAACTACGACGTCACCCGGACTCGCGACGCAGACTATGCGGCATTTCAATCCAGGGACCTGGGGGATGGCTGTGAGATTTTCTCCGGGGCTGAGCTTCGAAGGTACTGTATACTGTAGCTTACATGCGGAGGTTCAGCTTCGAGGGTTCGAGTAGAACTGTATAGAGCTGCAGAGAGACCTTGAAGGGTTTTCTAAGCTTTTGGGACGAAAGGCACAGGGTGCCGCTCGTTGCACCAGAGAATTGTGAATGGGGAGATGTCTCAACTGACCGAGGGAATTTTTAAAAGGGATCCTATGATGGGATGAGGTCGTGTCTAGCCCCGATGTGCCAAGCCGGGAGGCAATAAGGATCCTTACTGACTACACCTGTAATGGTCTCCTGTTGTGGCGATCTGGAGGTTTCTGAAAATTGGAGGCTGGGCACTTGTTTGGGAGTCCCTATGTTACGGATCTTTGAACATTGGGATCAGTCTTTGTCGGGAAAGCTCCACTTCGCCCAGGAGCTGCAGGACTTGCAAGAGGAGGCGCGGCTGCTTCGCACTGAAGCGGTGGAAAGGGAGAAGGACGTGATCTACAAGGACAAGGCCGGGATGCATCTGAAGGTTCTCAAAGAGTTTGCCTCGTATAAGCCGCCTTTCATTCTTTGTTATCAGGAGCTGCTTCTATCGTACACCGGCCATATAACCACCTTTCGGCTTAACTACTTCAGCGCGCCCTAATCATTGTTCCACATTCCGCCAGACCCCCACCCCCATGCACCCGCAATGCACCCCCCAAGCAGCCTCAACCCACCTAAACCCTTTCTCAGGAGCTCGTCCTCTTGCGCACCGAAGCCGCGCAGCTGAGCGACGAAGCGTCAGCCGAGCGCCAGCAGCGAGAGCTGGTGCAAGAGGCGAGGGCTTAAGTAAGTGTATAAGGGGGGTTCCATTAATTGGGCGTCCCATTTTGGGGTGCTTAAAGCT